GTGTGCGCTTACTCTGAACATGTGCATAACTGCTCACTTGCTTACATGCGAGTGTGATTTTTTTTCACACCAACGCCCAATCACAGCCACATCTCACATGCTCCCAAAGGACAACCCCACATCAGAGGCCATATGACCAAACAATGGAAAGATCAGCTCTGATTTAATGGTCAGATCCAGCACTGGCCGCAGGAGTCGACAACGTTTATCTGCGCTTCTCTCAGAGCCACAGAAGACCCATTCAGCTTCAGCCGGTCAGATGAGACTCACAAACATATGGCAACACTCTGACAAGCACTTCTCTCTAATTACTATCAGAAAGAAGTGCAAATGATGTGACGTCTCTTTAGACACACAGCTCTGCTGTCAAATGTAAAATCATCATCATCTTTATCATCATCACTCACCGGCTTCTCTGCTTCCTCAGCTGCTGTTAAGTGCAGGACAGCAAACACACAACACCAAAACGCACACAATCTGTGAGCAAGAGGAGAAACACATATGAAGAAGAGTAACATTTCAACTTGATCATGTTGTGACATTAAAAGATACTGTGATAATGAGACACTATTTTAACACACGATGAGCACTGAAAATTATAGTGTCTGATGGGGTCAACGAGAGGCTGGTTAGATTAACCTCTGGACAATTAGGAAAATACTTCCAATACTTCCCAATGGCTTTCCCAGAATTCCTCCTGCCCGGCTCCTATTGGAAGTTCCTCTGGATATTACTTATCCTCAAAACATTCCCATATCAACCACATTTAAATGAAACGCCTTTAACCCACATGCTAAGGTTCTGGTTGGTGGCTTTTCATAGTAAAAAATACTTAACATTGCATCATATAGATATTTGTTGTCCTAATTTTATAAAAACTAATTTTAAAGAAAATTGCAAGTTTTTTCAAAATAACAATGTTTCAGATGATAAATGCTACTTCTGTTTATAGAACACCTGAAATGGTTAAAGCACATTTTAAAGATAAAAGTAATCTTGGATTATCTTGTTCTTTACTCTGGGTTAGCAATTAATCCAGAATGGTCAGGTCAAAATTCACATTGTATATTCCAGTAACTTTACTTAAGGCCTGTTTATACCAAAGACGATAACTATAACGTTTAAATTATCATTTTAATTCTCAAAATAGGATATTTTTGGGTTCAGTCCCCCCCAGCAGATTAACAATAAAAAACACTGACAGCCAATCAGAATCCACCGGACTTGAGCATTTAAAGATCTTGAGAATTTTAAGTGGCAGATGACAAAATGACAACATGTGCTTATGATGATCTGAACATTATTGTGTGTTGGTGTGGACGCTGATAAAGTTATTATTATAGTCATCGTTCTTGGTGTGAACGGGCCTTTACCTTGGGGTAAGGACTCTTCTAAGCCACTTTTCACACTTAGCATCGCTTTTAACCCTGGTTTATTAAAGGGGTCATATGATGCTGCTAAAAAGAACATTATTTTGTGTATTTGGTGTAATGAAATGTGTTTATGCGGTTTAAAGTAAAAAAAACACATTATTTTCCACATACTGTACATTATTGTTTCTCCTCTATGCCCCGCCTTCTGAAACGCGTCGATTTTTACAAATCGCATCATATGACCCCTTTAAGCAAGGTGAAGCAGTGCTAACCCTGAATTGTGGTGCCAAGTGTGAAACAATGCCGTGCTCAAATGTTGCAGCGAGCTGTTTAGCAACAGACAACTGAACATGAAGTGTCTGAGTGGTTAACCCATTAAATACACATTAGTGGTTATGTTCGGCATCTAAAGGGTAAACACTGACAGCAAACGCATGGAATTGAAGAGACAGTGCTATTTATTAGCAAATTAATGTGACGATAATGGGCAAGCTGTTAATGATGGTGTTTACAGGCACATCAGTTTTCAGTTATATTGTGTAAGTCTTTAAAATGTTAGTAAATAAAAGTAAACAAATAAAAAGACATGATCACACAGAATTAGCTTTGTTTGGACATATCTGACAAATATAAACAAATGTTCAGTTATGAATAAACAGAACTATATAACTACATATTTCAGCTCTTTTATTCAGATTTCAAGAAACCAGAATATTGGTTCAATCTGATTATGGAAACCATGACATTTAAATATTCAGAATATGTACTCAATGTTCACTTTATATTGACTAACATCAGAATATGCTTGCAATGGCTCCACAAAGTCTTGACGAACAGTTTCAAAATGATTAATTACTAACTCAAAGCAACATTTGAACAGTTCGAAACATGGAACAAGATTATGTTTAAAATAAACCTGGATTAGAAATATGACGCATATTGCATTATGTTATCGGGGCCAAATCGACCCCAAACAGAAACTAAGTTACTCTACAGCAGATAATCAAGTTTCTGAAAGTGCATGGCCACTTAAAGCAACATCTGTATGTGTTGTAGTAATTAGGTCAGAGGAAAATTGTTTACACTTTTGAAGTGAACATAATGGGTTAATTTCAAAATCCCTGGTCCACAGTACAGCGCAGGGGTCTAACACTTAAGCAGACCGTCTCGAGAGAACATGAGGCTTGTTTGTTTGGTTTATCTGCCTGATGAGTTTCCACATCATCTGTGGTTTACTATTAGCTTTTCAGAACGGTGTAAAATGATGCATGACATTTTGAGTGCAGCCGCAGACCCGTAATCACAGACGTGGGTTAAAGCGGCGCGCCACGGAAACCATGAGGACAGCATCGGGGCAGAACTGCAGAGTCCCAGCGCGCGGAACGGGCTCGCTCAAGCCGCAGTAACGACCCCCCGCCTCCGGCCACGTTTTCCACCCGCCCGCTGCAGACTAGGCTACTGGAGAAACCCGCCACAAAGCCTACAAGAGCCCTGCTACTGGCGCTTTAAACGCGCCAAATGATCCGACAGGAATGTCACGAATCAGATTTCGAACCGCTTCATCACAGTGACACTGGAAACGTTTAAAAGCGAACGTAAACCAACGCAATCACAACCTGCTGCGAAGTGCACGGACCTTTTCTTCCAGGCTTAATTTCTTATACAGAAATCGTGTTGAAACTCAGGGAAATGAGATGATTTAAGGGTTAAATTGATGGAAACAAATGTTGTTAAAAACATATTTTATAGTAGCTAATTTAGACGATCAATATAAAGGAATATTAAATAAAATCCTCTAATCATACAAAACTTACTGGATATACGTCAGGGAAATTTCAAGATTTCAACTTTCATAAACAGGCTATCCTAGCCTACCATGAAGAAATGCTTTGTAATATTTTGCTTCTTTGAGTCCGTTTATAAATTATGATTTAGCTTTAGCATTCATTTAGGATTTTGGACCTATATATGAAACATGCATACATTTATTTCTTCATTAGTATTTATGAATATGTATTCGTATATCCGCAGCCGCCCAGTCCAGTCGTCTGATCTGATCTGTAAATCAGACTTCTTCCCTCTGCGCCCGCAGCCAGTGGACACTTCACGTGTCTCCATCCGATACAATGATGCGCAAAAGTCACAAACGTGCCCAAAAGTGTCATTGTGCGCGCGGTCGGTGTTCGCGTTACCTGCTCGCGGATCCGGTCTTCATTCTCTCCTCACTCGGGCGTCTGTCTCCGTTCTGCGTCCAGACTGTGAAAGAGCGAAGGAAACAAACACAAGATCCGCGGAGCTGCTTGGCGAACTTTTCCTGGTTTCTTCAGACTCGTCTCTCTTCTGTCACACACACACACACACACACACACACACACACACACACACACACACCCCTCGAGTAAGAGAGGGAGGGGTGTAGGTTTTTTCCCTCTGTAGTTCACCCGACAACTTTTTTTGTCCTTGTGTAAAGCTGGTGTGACGCTGGACAGCTCGGGGGCCTGCAGGGGCCCCACAGACTCTCTCTCTCTCTCCATCTGTTTTTCTTCTCTTCCCCTCCCTCTCATAGCACTCCACTCCTCTCGCTGGTTTCTCCATGTCTTCTGTTCTCTCGGACGCACACCTGTACATCATGTACATCACTCTTCAGCAAAGACTGAATTCTGCTCAGCAGTGAGCGCCACATGAGTTCAGCATCACACAGATAACAGCACTATTAATATTTACTTTCGATATCACCACATCGCGGAGACTAGGGTTAGTTTTCACTCCTTTTACCACAGTTTCTCTCATTACTGAAAATAAATTTCTGTACAAACACCTTAAGGCTGCATGGAACATTATTGGCTTTTCTGTCATTGCAGCCCAAGAAAACACATACTGGAACACACTCTGACCTTTTGAACAGTAATGGGGCATGTTGTCATACCGTATGATGGAATAATGGAACATGCAGCAAAATATAAACAGTAAAATAATGATGAAATATACAAAATGTTATAATGTCACACTAATTAAATATGAAATAATTGATAAACATTATACAATATTTAAATATTTTTTTTAATTAACATTACATTAATATTTTATATATATATTAATATTAATATGTTTGTATTGTTTCAGCTACTATTTAAATTTAGCTGAAAAGTTGGTTAGGGTTAGATGGTTTAAAGGTTTCATTGTGACAAAATACCCCACAAATATTTAAGTATTTGGTAAATCCAGATTTTCATACTTTTGACCCCACTTTATAGATATGAAAAGTCTGAGACTGCACTAAAATGTTTAGGACTCCATAAATAACGTCAACGAATGCTTGAAACAACACTCTCTATAAAGCTCAAGAGAGATCAGCATAATAACTCCTAATGTTTGGGGACATTTTTATTCAGACCTCAAAATGAACAGATATATATCATCAGAACTTCAATGAGAATAAATGACTTAATTAAAAAGAGTTGGCCAGTCTGATTGGGTCGCAGTTGCTCAGAAGTCTTTAAAAGGAGATGATAATCTTGAAAATGCACTGGAAAACATGGTGGCGTGAAAATGACAGCCTGTGTTTACTGTTAAGGGAGGGGAGGAGAGATTATAAACCACTGAGAAAGAGGCCCGTCAAGCATGTCAAGATACACAACTCATGACTGATGAATCCCACATGAAAACTCTATATACATTTACAAATCACTGATTCAAGGGCCACTGTGTGGTTTTGTCTGTAAGGACGTGCGACGTGAACAAAGTGCTGCGAGAGGTGAAAGGAAACTATATTAGAGACATTCAAAGCCTGTGTTCATATCTAACAAACAAGATAGCATATCATAATCACACTGAGAGAAATGTTGGGTGACGGCTGAGCTTCAGTGCTTAAACACTGGATAAATGTTCATGCCTGTTTCTGTGGGTGTTTTCTGACCTATTTTGGATTAAATCATAACCTCCAGATATAATGGCAAATCTGAGTAAAGCACAAGGGAAAGATGCTAGAGGAACAAAATGAATACAGAGACGCTGAAAGCTGAACAAAATGCATGTTCAAACATTATGCCAAAGATCTTAAACGTCTCAAATAATCTAGTAAGATTTTCTGATTATTATCGATGTGGAAAACGGTTGTGCTGCTTCATATTTTTCTGGAAACCGATTTTATTTTCCAGGATTCTTCAATGAATTGTTTGATATAGAGATCTTTTGTAACACTATAAATGTCTTTGCTGTAACTTTTGATCAATTTAACGCATCCTTGATGAATAAAAGCATTCATTTCTTTCAAAAAGAAAAAAGTCGACAAAGATGTATTGACTTTAATAGCATAGGCTGTGATATTCCAACATGCATTATCAGTGTTCTTGCATGTACTTGTGTGTCAGTATCTGTAATTAATATTAGATTGGTTTGATCTCACCGTAGCCCAGCGAGACCCTTACGTGACCCTAAAACAGCCTGACTGACATGAACCCATCCTCATATTACAGAAGACAAAACATCTGAAATATTTGCTTTTTAACCATGAAATCAGAATTAGAGTGTTGCATCTTAGTTTCGAACTCATCTTTTTTCTAGTGCCCTCTTAAAAGATGACTAAACAACTTACAGCGGATAGCAAGTAGCAAATCAAGTTAAAGCTAAAGACTATCCTATGTGAAAAAAAGGACACTTTATGTATTTATTATGGCAATAATACAGTATATTATAAAAGTGCAAACTGAATGTAATGTTTTTTGGAAATTTAATTGCATGTTGACTGAAATTATATAAAAATGTACCATAATTGAAATTTATATTAAATGCGATTAGTTGAACGTTAGAGTGCTTTTTGTACCATTTAAGACTCAAGTAAATCTTTATATGTAATTTCATAATTCTATTATTTGAAATATGGTTGTGTACTGACAAGCATTTATGATAAACTAAAATATACTTTAATGTCATTTCTATTCAAACTTGTATGTCATGTATTTACATATATTTTTAATCACACATTTGTAATGATGAATTTTATTTGCAATTTAATTTTTTTTTTAAATGTTAATTTTGACTAATATCAAATAAGACAGTACAGTTAAACTTATAATCTTTACAAAGTACTTTACATGTGCATTAGTCTTTAAGTGCACTTAAATGGTCTTTTATTTCAGTAATGCAAGTACAGTTGTTTAAAAATAAACTTTAAAGTTTTAAGTACACTACAAGTGCACATTCATTACAATTAAGCACACTTAGTATATTTAACAAGGTATTGGCTATTAAAAAAAAAAAAGAGGGACAATTGCTGGGATGCGTCATACGTGAGTTACACGCCCAGTTCAAGTTTATCACATCTAAACATGAACAATGATAACAGCTCACCCTAGTAAACATCACTAAAAAGCAGAGGGAATAAAATGCGCTAAGTTTAGGGCGCTAAAGGACTCAAGGGAGGAAAGAAGATAAAGATAGAGATGAAAAGAAACATGCCTACTGAGAAGAAAAAAACTTTGCAGTAAAACATCCACATTCAGCAAACAGAAAAAGTGAGCGAGAGACTGAGACAGAAAGATTGGTTTGGGTCAGAGGGAGTCAATATTTGCCTCATTCCAGTGATATTATGGCCGTGGAGATCAAAGAACTGACTGTGTGCTCTTGCGTCTGTGTAAAACGAGTGAAAGAACGAAGGAAACACTAGATGCACAAAAAGACAAGATGCACAAGGGGCCCGTTAAGGGGACACCCACCGGGGCCAGCGGCCTGCAGGGTCACCGAGGCCAGGACGAGCGGATGTTAATCGGCTGACAAAGATGTCCAGTGATGTAATTTCAATTATCAGGACAAAAGAGGGTCACCCTATGCACATGGGCACATAATAAACAAACAGACTGTGTCTGGTGACCCGTCTGACCACACGGTCGACAAGCAACCTAAAGCAGATCAAATCTACAGCAAAGACCTGATGCTGCGGTCCACCGGAGAGCGGAGTCCCATAATTGAGTTTCCATCTGATTCTCATGTGTCTGAGAGCTTCTGGCATGAACCCGAGTCTATCTGATGGCAGTGTTTTGCTTGAAGGTGCCTGAATACTAAAGAAAGCTCGAACCGAGCAAAGAATGGATAATAATGAGTTTAGAAGATGTACATAGAGATGTGAATTTAAATTCAAAAAGAATAAAGTCAGCTGGATTCAGAAGTTTTTGTATTGAATGTGCACTAGTACACTCTAAAAAATGCTGGGCTAAATACAACCCAGTGCTGGGTAAAATAGGGACAAACCCAGCAATAAACATTTAACCCAACCGCTGGGTCAAAACAGCCCAATTGCTGGGTTTGTCCCTATTTTACCCAGCACTAGGTTGTATTTAACCCAGCATTTTTTAGAGTGTACATTCAGCAGTAACTATATAACCAAATTTCAAAGACAATAGAAGTAATTCTGAAATTACATATAAAGATGTGCTTCAGTCCTACTCAAGTGAGTCAAAAAAGCACTCTAGCTAACTGCATTTTATATTAATATAAACAATCACACATTTTCATTTAATTGTAATTCACGTGCAATTAAGTGTCTGAAAACATTATATTCAGTTCGCACTTAAGTATATTATTTCCATAACATACTCTTTTTAAATGCATGCTAAAATGTACTTCTTTTTCGCAAAAGGGGTGCTTACGTCAGGTATTGAAATATTCTCAACTTTACTTCATTTCTGGAAACCTTTGCATTTTCCCTTTATATTCTTGTGATGCACATGAATTAATGGATTCACAACAAACTGTAGTGTCATTATTGTCATATTTATAGACAGACTGAACAGTGAAGAGTGACTCTACAGCGTCTCCACGTCATACGCAAACATGACACTCATGACGGCGGGTCACGTTAGTTAATGACAGATGGCTTTACACCGCCAGCCCAAATGCCTCATGCTGGTGTAATGTGTTCAACAGGACGCTCAGAGTCACTCATCCTGAACAGGAAATGCTTAGCACACATCCATACAGCAAAATATTGCTGGGAAGTTTGAAAACGGAAACTAACAGCAATTGAAACAGCATTAAAGGCCTCATAAGAGCTTCAGTTCATAATCGTAACTCAGAAAGAGTTCCATCACTCACGACAGCTTAATGCATTTGAAATGTTGGTTATTTGTCATTTGGTAGATGCTTATACTAAGGGACGGTCCATTGCTGGATTCCTGGTAATGTTGTTTTGCTGGAACTGTGGCCTAGAAGTGGCGCATGATTCATGATTCAAGCACATGTGGACGATGCAAGCTCAAATCTTGCTTAAGACATTTCCCCATCATTTTCTGTCCCCTCTCCTCTAGAATATGAATAAAAGCTCCAAAAAATGTCATTGAAAACACTCTGACATACTGCTTACTGCACACTGTCTTCAATAAAACAACAAACAAACAA